CCCCACAATGTCTGCTTGGCCTCGCACAGTTCCCTATATAGGGCATTTACTTCTGATTTAAAAACTTCATCCTTCACGAGGTAACTGTTCGACCTGCATAATAGCCAGGGGCCAGATTCACGAAACGATCTTACGCTAAAAATGTGCGTAAGACAAAATTTAAAAACAAATTCGTATTCACGAAACGAACTTTTCGTAAGTTTTGCGCAGGTTACCACGAAATCCTACGACAGCTCCGAAGCTGTCTTACGCACTTCTTACGATCAAATCAGCATGGCCGACAGTGTGACTCAGTTGTTGGTCGCGACGACCAACGGACGTTTATGTTTCTACGTGCGCTTCTCACGCGTCCCGACTTCAAGCAGCAAGAAAAAAGTAAAATGGACTTGAAACAGACCACGACGAACAAGAACGCTGGATCCACAAACACCCGGGAAAAGCTCCAACGGCCAAGATTCCACCGACCACAAGCGAGCTCGGCAGATAGGCCTAGCAGGCACTCCGACTCGGCGCAGCGGTGCTCTGACGGTCCTTGGCCGAGACCGTCTGCCCACGACCGGCTGGCGTGCTGATGGAATACGCCCACGTGACCCTTGTGAACCCTTCCCTCATTATAGATTGATCGCTGACCTCAATTTTAGACTAAGAGGTAATCTCTTCCCCGTGTCATCTCCTTGCTTTCCGAGGCAGGGGTGACGAACGCTGTCATCGAAAGGGGACTTTCATCGATTCTGTTTTATTGGTTTTTATCGCCGTATGGATTACCTTCACTCCTTGCGGATGTGCCCCGTCCACTGGCGACGGAGACAGAGCGGCGCCCTGCCAAGCATGACGATGAGGGTCAACTCCCCTCCCACCAGGAGCTGGTGCGGGATGTCGTCGAGTGTGACGCCCCCCTTGAGCCGGAGCACCGTCGCGCGTGTCATGGTGCCCACGGTCTGGCAGCCGTCGACACGCCACTTTTCCCTGGCCACCTCGACGACCTTGCCGTACGGAGTTAGGGCCGCTCTCACGTCGTCGTCAGCGACGTTGAAGAGGAGCCAATGGAGCTTCACTCAAACGTCCTGGTGGCACTAGTCGACGACGAGGCATCGGCGGCCCTTGACGGCAGCGTTGGAACTAACGTGTTACAAGTAACGACGTTACTGGTAACACGTTAGTTTTTTTTAGTGACTTAGTCCCAAATGAGTAAGGAGTAAAGTAACTGCAATAATACTTAAAAAACAAGCGAGCTGGTGATGATTCATGGTAATAAAACCCGAGACTGAGGAACACAGAAGGGGACGAACACAAAACAACGTTGTGTTGTGTTCGTCCCCTTCTGTGTTCCTCAGTCTTGGGTTTTATTACCATGAGTAAAGTAATCTCGTTATTATTTTACGGTATCTCCTATCAAATTACGTTACCCGTTAGTTGTCACTTTTGATTAAAAATGGCCTCATGATAGTTTGAAAGCAAAATACCTGTTATTGTGCACACTAGAAAAAGTGGCAAAGAAACCGCAACAAAGCTATATATAAACGGAGTCATTTCAAACTCCCTCTGAAGGCACTTTCAACGTTCCCACGACCGGGCACAAAAGACGCGAAATTATCTCTTTGGGGAATTCCTAAGCGTCCTTGGTGCAGTTTTTGTATAGAAGCTACTAAGACCACCTTCGGCCGTGCCCTGAAGGAGCAGCCGTCTCGCTGGAAAGAGACATCTGCTCAGAAGGCAACAGTCTGCCGCCGCTCGAAGGTTCTGCCTAATCGTCTCTATAGCTACTCCAGCTGGTCAAATCCTTTTCTTCAAAATAAATAAATTATCTTTTTGTGAAGAACAGAACGGACAAATTCTCAATTTGGAAGCGTTGACGTTCCCATGCTTTGAACCAAAATAAGTGGCAAGGTTTTCGCAGGATTGAAAGGTGTCCGTCACCAGAAAGACGTCACCATCTTGTAGGATCCCTGCCGCCGTGGTACAAAGGTGCGGTCTCTCGCTGGAGAATGACTCCCGTTCAGAAGGTCGCCTCCCACTAAATCCTCTGGGCATCCTTTCTCCCATAGTGCCCAATAAATTAGACGAAAGACTGGGTAACCACCACGGACGGCACCTTCTTTGTATCGCAGTTAGCCCACAACCCCCTTCCATTCAAAGACCGAATCACCTATTGCTGGACGCTGCGCCCGCCTTATCCTTCTCGCAGATCCTGGTTGTGTGTGAAGGCTACTGTACCATTCTTTTACACTTAGAGAGACACACTCGTAGCTGTAATAGTGATGGCGTTCGTCTGTTTCGCCCTTACTTTGCTGCTGCCGGGGTGAAAAAAAAAAAGGAAAAGGGTTTTGGGAGTGAAAGAGAAACTTAGGGTAAAAGGGTTACAAACGCTTGCCACTTTTTAAAATCATATATACACGTGAAGATACTACGAGTATGCATGTGGTTATAACCAAAGTATGGCCGGCACTATAATTCGCTTATAACCACCAATAATCTTCTTTGGTTACAATTATTGGTTATAATAAGCGATCGGTGTCCTCTTTTCGTTGCTTGTGTAGCCTATTGTAACTACAACCGGTGGGCTATGAGTTATGTTGTTTGTGAGCAATCCGTGTAACAGTACAGTTGCCTCTTTCATGCAACGTCTGCATCTAACTAACAAAGCCGTTTTGGAGCGCTTGTTATAAAAGCCCCTTTTACTGCCATCTCGCACTCACTTTTCGTGCAAGATGGCAACGGCTATCTAAACTCCGTTATTATGGCCCAGGTAAGTGCTATGTTTAAACTGAGGGAAACAAAGCCAGACTTTTTGATGTTTAAATGTCTTCTCTGTATCCCGACACTCAAGCTGCTGAGCACATCCAGGACGTCGAACCCTAACTTGAAAAAGCAGAGTAAGGTGAGTTATATTTCAATGTCACTTACTTTTTTTTTCGTTAAAATGTCGTCGTTGAGCTTTCTTAGCCAAAAGAACGCACCTTTCTTTTGAGATCGTTTTGTTAGTCGCAGTTTTTTTAGCTACATCTCTCAATGTTCATTAGTGTAAGCTAGCGAAAAGTCTTCGAAAACGGCTTAGTTTAGTTTACTTGTATATTTCAGGAGGGTAAATTAACCATTGCAGTTATATATAAACACGCCTGTTTGGTATTTGTCTAAGTTTGCGATTTATTTAGACACTTCTTTTATACTAATTCGTGATGCAGTTTACTTAATTAATATTTGCGTTGTTCCACACCACTGATAACAAGAAATTGACAGCGGTGTTTCGCATCAGTCCTAATTGCTTTTCTTTTCCGCCAGCCCCTCCAGTCGCAGAAGCTATCAGAGTTCACGTTAATTTCAAAGAAACGAAAGACCGAAACCACAACCCACTTTCCCGACCCACCCTTGCTAAAACAGAGGAAGATAGACCGTATGCATCAAGCTCCCATTTCTCAAGGAGTGTTCGACAATCTTATGGAGACATTTGTGCTTGAGACTCTACCGTCATATACTAACAGTTATCACATACTGACAGTGAAACACAAAGTAACGACAAACTAACATAAAAGTGACGTCCGTTAGTCATGGAAAGTAACGACACCAGGATTTTGTTACATTTGCGATATGATAACCAGGGGCGGATCCAGAACTCCATTTTTTTAATTTTTTTTTGAGGGGGGGAATTTGTGAGGATACTATTCTCCCATTCTTTCGTGTGCACCGGGGGGTCGACCCTTGTCAAATTGCCCTCCGAGAAGGGGGGAGGGGGGGGGGTCGACTTTGTTTGGGGGGGTGGCCGCCCCCGTCGCCCCCTTCCCCCCCTCCCCTTGGATCCGCCCCTGGTGGTAACGGACCTCTGTAACGCGTTAGCTTTTTCCCAAGCTAACGTGTAACGCTATTTCGTTACTTATTTTCGCTAACGGGCACAACACTGCTTGACGGTCAGCTCCGGCGCGGTGGGCATCTTCTTGTTGCCCTCGGTGGTCTTGAACGTCGTCGCCCACACGTGGTTCATGCGGTAAGCCCCGAGGGCGGCGACCTCGGGGAGCAAACCGAGAGGAACCAACGCGTCGGGGAAGTCGTCGACGTGGTATGGCCGCCCCTTCATTTCAGCGTGAAAAAATACGGTGTTTAAAACAACGGGTCTTGTAGGCAGAGCAGGCAGAATGACTTTATAATCTCCGTTATCGTTAGCCCTGATACCGCGGCCGGCGTGCGCCGCTGACACCGCTCCTTCGGAGCCAGACATCGCACGTCCGTACGCTTCGGCGGCCGGAAGAGACTTAAGCGCGATCCAAACCAACGCTTCTTTTTGCGCCTGTAGGTCGTGCGGCTGCGGATGTGACGCATTCCGCGTCGTTTTTGCTGTTTCCGGGCGCGCTTTCTGAGTCAGAAGCGTGCGCTTTGGTTTGGACGGGCCAGCTACGGGCGGGGGCGCACGCGCGCACGCAGGCACGAGCGCACAAGCAAAGTGCAACAGCGACAGACTGGCCGGCGAGAGAAAGAGAGAGGGAGAGAGATCGCGTTGTCATGTTGGAAGAGAATAAAAGGGGGGGGGGGGGGGGGGGGAGGAGAGGGCAGCCAGACGGCGAGAAACGCGGAGCCGGAACTAGCTTGCCCTCCACCGATTGGCCGGGACACAGGCGCGGCCTGCTACGTCACCGCGCTTTTTTGTGCGGCTTGAGAAAGAAGTTGAAATCAACCAACTTCTTCGTGCGCGCCCGGAAGGAGCGAAGAAGCGGCGCGACGTCACGAAAATACGTCACATCCGCAGCCGCACGACCTACAGGCGCAAAAAGAAGCGTTGGTTTGGATCGCGCTTTAGGCCACAAGCCCGCTGCCTGCTTGGTCAGGTGCGCGCGCGGCAATATACCGGAAACAACAACTACAAGGGTCATTGAATTGCGCATCAAAGTTTTCTTCCGCAAACTATTGCACGTATGTATATACGCTTTCGTATAACAATTTAAGTAAAACACAGAGCTCGTTAGTTGCTTCACTTCTCGCTCCGCGTTCCGGGATCAAGAAAGTTGTAAGCCATGGAAGCTGTCTTGATTCGCATGCTGCTGGGAACAGCGTTCGTGGGCTTGCAGTTGTCCCCATACGCATTAGTAGTGGCATATGACAAGTCCCTTTATAAAAGAGTTTTGAGAAGAGAACCCGGTATTTGCGGTAAGTAAGACTTGGCACGAGGTTTGACTAATATTCTTAAAAGCGCAATGCATATGTTAAATGGATTGTCAGGTAAAGGTTTCTTTTTTTGAGAAAATAATTAATATACATTGTCACTGATTTTAGGAATACCATCCGCACAATGTCCGAATTTTTAATCATCCGCCGCACAAGTAATTCAGTATTAAAGAGAGCCCAACTGCTCACATTGCACCCGCAAAACACACAGTGTTTTCATTGGCAACAGAAGAAGCTCTTACGTAACATCATGCAGAGAACCACGACACCTCTCGACTGCTTTCTCAGCAAAATAACCTCGTTCTAATAAAGGCAGTATTTACTCTATTGAGGGAAGCTCAATTGTTCGACGATGATCTTTGTACGCACCATCAACCATGTTTATCAAAACCGGGACTAAGTTAACGCCCGCGACTCTGACGTTGTCATGCTTGATGTGACGTCACGACACGACCAGCCATGCATACTTGCGAAATTTGGCGTGAAGTTTCACACTGATGTTCATAATTGATTGAACGGATATTGGGGCGTCTTTTAGTGAAACAAATATCACATCTGATCATATTTAGGCCCGTTTTCAGTGACCAAAGCGGAAACTTAGTAATTTACGAACTTCACCGGACAATCCCTTTAAATATGCGATGCAACAATTATTGTACTTTGTGCAAAGACCGCGAAAGAATAAACCCTTGACGATTATGACCTATAAAACACGCGTTAAATTTTTTGTCCTCGAAAAGAAAAAAAAAATGCGTAGAAAAAAAAGGTAGCCAGCGTTTATTTCCTTAACTCACAGCCAGAAGAAGCGGCCACGTGATCTTGAGCTGATTCTATGCCGCCAATGTTCATCACAGCCACACGCTGGGGTTGGCCCGCGCTGAGTTCCACACATTGCTAGGGTTCGGCTATTATGTCATTGCTGCGATTAGACACGAGCCGCTGCCGGAAAGGCTTGTCGAGCATTGATGTTCTTGAGCCCAAGTCGAATGCCCATGCAATGCTCCGCCGGGGGACTATGCCAACCATAGCATCCTTTATTCTTCAAGGCTTGTCAATTCCCCGACGGAGCCATGGAGCACTCGGCTGCCGGAAAAAGGTGAGGACCGGCGCCGAAGGGCTATCAATATGGTGGCGAAGAGCCACTTGTGGGGTGTCCCCTCAGCCAACGCCAAGCGGCGGCCCGCGGTTTCTCCGCGAAACTGGTCTGCGTTTGGATCTCTGAATTGGCCTCCTAAATCATAGTCCACCTCCAAGCGCGGTCAGCCGCCAACGGTGAGCGGCGGGGGCGCACGCTCTCATTCACAAAACGGTTAATTTTCAAAACCACAAAAAAAAAAGAGTGAGTCTTTTTTTAGATTTTACCGCAGCAGCAGTTTTGACTGCCTAGTTGGTGTTGCTCCTGCGCTCTCCCACTTCCTTCTTCCTCCTTTTCCGTAGCAAATGGTCAGATTTTTTTCGCCATTTGACAGGCTTTGTAGAATAAAGGAGCCTATCCTTACAAAAATGACATATCTGAACTTATTTAAACAAACACAAATATGGGTATATAAAAAAATTCGGCATATGTGGCCATATAAAGCATATCAGTTTATATAAGGCACATCTGGCCAGATATGCCCTATTTTTTATATATTCATATCTGGGTCTGCGAAAAAGGGGTATACCTGCCTCCCATGTAAGGCCAGATATGTCCGAATCAAATAAGGCCAACCTTTTTATATATTGTTATTTTCTTCACAAAACGTCCAAAAGTGACTTCTCATCTATATAAAAAAAATCCCAATTGGACATTGAGCATGTACCAACTTTTATTATTTTTTATATGAGCTGCGCTTTACGCCACACCTGATTTCGCTCAACTTGGTTCCCAGGGAAGGCAGAATTATCGACATTCGCGTAACGAATGTCGACGAAGCGTATGTCCATGAAACGTGTATCCACGAGAAGGTGGCCGCGGAACGTGTTATCACGAAATGCATGTTCCGCTTGGTACGCCACATGAGAGACAGAAATAAAAACCAGATGTATGGGTGTCAGATACCTGGATGAGCGCAGTGAGCGAGCCAGAGACGTAAAAGCAACAAGGTCGGGGATACGGGTGCACCACAGCTGCTTTCGCGCGCGTTTAACTGTGCGTCGGTATGCCAAAAGGAAAGTGACGTCGTGAATGCAATTTCGGCGGTCGCGATTCCGCCATTTTGCAAATTCAACAATTTTTTTATCAATTGCAGAAATTATGTTCGCGATCACACAATGACTTGTCGGAATGATGCGATTATAGCTTGTTTCATAGCCGTATCTGTGATTTTTAATCTTAAATAATATATAAAAATATTTTCGGTGGGCAAAGCGCCGGCTATACAGGTCACCATTAGCGGGTTTCAATCCCATCGTGGTGCCCGTAATCTGAAGGAGGCCTATTAGTCAGAAAGCGTTCTGCAGTCGAGATTTCGGTTGCACCCCAAAAGACAGTCAGTGAAACAAAAACTTCGCACTTTTTTTTTTTTTTTGCTGGGGCGGGTCGCTTGGTTTTGGATAGTTTGACTTTAAGATTTAAATGTTGTCTTCGCCCTACCTTAGATCAGGGTGCAGCCAACACTACGGGCCGATGAAGCCAATCAAGCGGTGGCAATATTGCACAGTCATGCAGTTCTATTGAAGATTGAAAAACAGCGCGAACAAGACGAAGGACATGAGGGGACGTAAGCAGACAGTCCGTCCACGTCTCCTCTTGTCCTTCGTCTTGTTCGCGCTGTTTCTAATTCTTCAATATGCAAAACCAACTCGCCTAAGTCTTCACCCTCATGCAGTTCTTTGTGTGTGTGTGTTCGTGCTATCATCGCTAAACCAAATTTAGTCAATACGCCGTGGCATTGCGTCTTTAGTGCGTGTGTTCGCGTTTTTCTTGATCTTCATATCTTTGATTTCGCCCTTACTTATGATGCAACAGGGCATCGTCATCCTCACATATTTTGATATTTTTTGCGCACCACTATTTGGTCCGCACAAATCACCAAATTAATATTGCTACACTGCTTAAACTTTGCCATAGCTATCCATAAAATAAAAAGAATTGATAGGCTGCAGTCGTTTCAACTGTCCCTGCACTCAGTGCTAAAAGTAAGTTTGATCATTTAAAATGTGAGTAATTCTTTGACTTCGCATTACTTTGGCTATATCGTAATGCATAAGACTTTTGTGACAGTTTTACTTCGTGTTAACCAAACTGAATGTCTACAACAGCTGAGGCTTATTTTTTGCGTTTTCAAGTCTCACGGTGAAAATAAAATTCACAGTGACACTTTACCAAAAGAAAATAGTTTTTTTTTGTCTTTTCTTCTTGAGAGGCATGTATTCCACAACCTAGATTTCCGGAAACCCTCGTATATCACGTCATCACGGTTTTGTGGATATCTATAAGGCGCGAAACACGTGCACAACAAAATGGCCGACCCGTCTAACGAATCTGAACACGTTGATATATGTGTAATTGGCGTCCGAGATCCCAGAGGTGATAAATGCGTGCCGCCAATTTAAAGTTTTTGACGCGTTGGTTCTATTGACGTGCATGTGCCTCGCAATTCGCTCAGGATGATTTTCGTGTTAGTTTTGACCCCATTTGCTGGAGACACAAGCTCATAGCGAAGGTAGCTGCTCATTTTACACGAGAACTGGTGCAGCCGCACCAAACTGAACGGCCAGAGATGTCAATTTCAAGAGACAGAAAATACCACATTGAGTCGAAGCGCCACCACACGGTTCATTGGGTTCATGTACAGGTCTGGAAGGCGATACTCTCGCCATCTCTTGGGTCAGAATCACACTAGCCGAGGGTGGGGGTCCACCTTAAGTGTGGCTCATAGAGTGCAGAGGAGCACTGCATGAGCATTCGATTTTTGCTCGTGGCAATAAATGCCTCCACATGCGTTCGGATATAGGCTCATACCCAATCACTGCGATGACAGGAATAGCTGAAGTTTAACAATCTCTGGAACTCAGCGAGTGTTTTGTACTTCGACAACCCCAGCGCGTAGCTATGATCAACTTTGGCGGCATATAATCAGCTCCAGATCACGTGATAACTGGTCTTGGCTGCGAGTTGAGGGGGTGAACGCTGCTGGGTTTTCTAATTTTTTTTCTACATCTGCCAATGCGTAAAGAAAAAAAAAAAAACTATTTTGTGTTTTATAAGTAGTGTTCCGAGTTTTCGGATGAATTAAATAAAAACTCACAAAAACACTCGCCGGTATAGTATTTTCGTTAATTCGAATTTATCTGATAAACTCCGAACGTCAATATCCCAGTGCGAAAAGGAAGTACTGTACAATTATGTTTGTTCAGAGCGCAGCATGAACGTCCTGAGGAGTTGCAACTCCAGTTTCCTTTCAAATTTAGGGTCATTAAGAAAATGGGTGTTACCGTTAACTCGTCAAGCTTCATTCAGGACAACATACCGTATTTACTCGATTCTAAGCACCCCCTTTTGTTCACACCCGCTATGTTCAAAGAGGGGGGGGGGGGGGGTGCTTAGACTCGGAACATGCCCCGAAAATACGAAATTTACACAAGAAATATGAATTTATTATAATAAAAATGAAAGAATAAATGTTCTAAAGGAAATAAATAAAGACTGGAGAGTATCCCGCTTGCCATCAGTTTGCACCAGGTTGACTAATCGCTCTCGCCAGTAGTCTTTTGAGGATGATGTAGGGCGCGAGTTTCCGACCGTCGGCTGTGTTGCACAGCATAACGGTCACCCTTTGCTTCTCATAGCCATCGTACGCACTTTTACTTCTCGGGCGCCTACATCGTTCACGGTGCACGTTTTTGGCATGTCGATGTACACAGGGGTCTCATCGGCATTGCCGATCTGCCCGAGTCCGTAGCGAGATTCGGGGCGCAGCTTCATCACATAACGTTGGAAGGTCACAGGCTTTTCCTCGAAGTCCACCGGTAGCTTCTGGCAGATAGTGGTGCGGCGTCTCAAAGAGAAATCGGTCCTCTTCATTATTCGCTCCACCCAGCCTTGGCTTGCGCGAACGCCGCACTCCGAACTGTTCAGCAGCGCCGTGATTTCCGTTGTCTTCCGCGTAAGAAATAACCGTTCTCTTGAACTTCATCATGTATGAAGTTCTCTTTGCACTCATGATGGACGGCTTCCGCAAACTACGTGCACATAGAGAATGGAATACGATTGCTAGGCCAACGCGGACGAATAGGCTTAACAGACTAAACAACCAACTGCAACCAGCGCAAGGAGACCAAACAGACAAAACATCTTCGATAGAGGGTACGGGAACGCACCCTCTTTAGCAACCTACACGGATGCGAAAATGGAAAATGGCGGTATGTGCTGCCAGCTATTAACTGACGTTGAAACCAAGCGCCAGCGGCCTTTCGCGACTCCTGCGCTCGGCGATACCGGCGTCTCCGATTTCTAATTTCTTGTTGAGAGGGGGGTGCTTACATTCGCATGCAAACTTTTTTTCGGGTGTTTATGTTTGAAAGGGGGGGGGGGGGGGTGCTTAGAGTCGCGAAAATACGGTATGTCATTGTACTTCTGGATCACGACAAGTCACTGCTACAGTCTCCAGTATAGACCATGTGTGCTTTTTAAAAGAATGAAGGGTTGTGTTTTTGTATCCGTGAAAGCTACGAACCATAGATATTTCATAAAGAGAGGAAGAAGGCAGTTGAAGGAGGAGACGAGATTGCGCGGGGATGTCAGACCGCCAAGGGTGGACCTCAAGCTTTTGCCTACACTGCGCTCGTGGTTCGGGTTAAGGGCGATACACACACTTACCCTGAGTCTGACGCAGTGCGAGTATTTCTATGGAAACAGCTGCGTCAGCTCGAACAAAACGACGTAAAATCCGTTTTTGTTGGAGCCGACGCAGCTCTTGCCATAGCAACCCTCGCACTCGGTCGAACTCTACACAAGTGCGTGTGAATCGCCCTTTAGAACGCGGAATGCCTGCGTCCGGTGTTTGGCTTCTTCATTTTAACGCGTTCGACGAGTGCAGTGGAGACAAAGGCAGCTAGCTCGTACTCACCAAAGGCTCTGTTATACTCCGACGTTGAGCCTACCAAACGCGGCGTAGCTCAGCTCAAACAGAAGCTGATTGGTCGCAGAAATCAAGTTCCTGTTTGCAGACCAATGAAACGAGCGTTTTCTGTGCAACGCTGCGTTCGCTGCGCTCAACGTAGTCTCTTTATCTCCCTCAGCCTTCTCGGTGCATTGCATTCTTTACTACTCTACCACACACCGTCAAGGGGAGGGGTCATGGAATAGGACGGGATAAAAACGAGCTTTCCAGCGACTACCTCCAGGAGTTCAGTATTGACGTTTAGATAAGCAATACTTGTTTGCAAGTTTTGTCGTGGGACAGATTACTAGTGCCCCGAAAGTGACGACGCATGTCCAGACGTTGCAACATTATTTGATACACGTTTACAGCCGGATACTATTTTTGTTTTGGAAGCACTAGAATTTTATTTTGAATTTCAAAGAATTAAGAATCTAATAAGAGTATACTCCAATGAACTTCAAATGTTCGGGACACAAAAATACACCCTCCAAATTTTACGAAAAATTAACTCCGAAAACACGGAAGCCTGTGATTTTGTGTATTCGGGTTTATGTTTAGTGGAATTCGGACGGTGTTTTTCGAATATTGCTTTTGATGGAAATTCCGGGTTTATCGGAGATTATTTTAGATTCCCAATTCACCGAAATTCAAGAAGTTATTTTTCTTTGTACTTTTTTTTTTAAATACAAATGAATGATAAGTGGAAAAAGACGTACACTAAATTAATACAAAAATCACCGATATTAAAAGCTATTTCTACAGCTGAATTTGGCATTGGCGTAACTGCGATTGGCTCTAATAACTCTCCTATGACAAATCTTGAAAACAAGTATTACCTCAAGAAACGTCGGCACTTTGAAATAGCCAGAATACTGGACGCATAAAAGCTTCGGCAGCCCTCCACACCCCATGAAATCTATATAGGTGCACAGCTTTCACTGTTATAAAACCCAACCCGCCATCCCTTTAAAAAGCACAAATAGTGTAGCCCAAATTGGAAACCGGAACAGTGTATTTTGTTGTGGTCAAGAAGTACATTAGCCCATTGTACTGAACAAACCTTGACAAGATAAACGGGGTAATACTACTCTGTTTTCTGATAATCTTTAATATTAAATAATATTTTTGTCGATTTTTTTATTTTGCATCGTGACCTCGAAATTCGGAATTTTCTGAATAAATCCTTTCTACTTCACAATTTTCTGTTTTTCAAACCAGTCTCAGGTTTTCAATCATCATGTTTAACTTACACCAGCTCGCCTGCACTTTAACCGTTTTTTCATAAATCCGGAATGTCAGAATTTTTTTAACGGCGTATGTTTTTCGGAGTTTATCGGATTTATCCGATAACATGAAACCTTAATCATAGGTTATAAATGTCAAGGAATAACTTTAAGCGGTAAATACCGAAAGCAAAAAACTTGTTTCATCGCCCCCTTAAACACTTGGAAATCGGCAATGACATTCCCCGAACGCAAAATGTGGCATTGCTCAATGCAAAGCGTCATGCTTGCATTGCATAATGCCACAGCGCAGACTTCATTTTAAGGTCTAAACAGATGTTCCGCCTCATCATCTGTTGAGCTGATTTCGTAGATCGCAGAGATTGGCTCTTTGATTGTTCTGTGGGTAAGTAGACGCGCATGCATTTCTTAGAGTGTAGGCAGAGGAGGAGTCAGCTGTTGAATATTTGGAGATAGTCACGCAATAAAGCGTTTAAAATAATTTATTAAATTTACGCAATTATCAGTTTCCAAAGCGCAGGGACGTTTCTTTCTTTCTTTCCGTATTATCCGGGGACTAGTGAATAAAGTTATCTTGTGAGCAAAATTTATAGTGAGCATTTGCCCAAGTTTTGCTGGTAATGTTGGACACTCAAGAATTACGAGTGGTTTTATGCCACTGGAGTAATGATGCCGCGTGCCACATTATAGATTCCTCAATCACTGTAATTGAACGGTTTCGTATTTGGGTTAATTATAATTTTCCTTACCACTTCATTGCCGCCTTGAATAGGGGCATGGTATAGAAACCCAAAACAAACGGAACAAATTATGAATTGCGTGCTGGGAAAGGTACCACCTCCTGTAAGTACATTTTTTAAGTTCGGTCATAGCCTCGTTCGGTGCTCTTCGGCGACCGAGTACGGTACAACAAAAGGATTGAGATCATGAAGTGCATCTAAGAGTAAACTGGTCGAAAAAATTCCGCGAAAAAAAGTATATATCAGGGTGTCGAACCGGAACCGAACCGAACCGGTATTTTTTCCGGAACTGAACCCAAACCCGAACCGTTATATTGTTATCGCGATGAACCCGAACCGGAACTGAACCGGACAAAAAATAACGGTTACCGGCTCATGTCAAAACGGTTCGGCCACGCGCTGTTGACAATGAATGTGCTATCAATGCCATTTGTTTTTTAAGTGCCGTCAACTGACACACACCTCGCTTACATATTTTTCTTCTCCACTCAGTCTTAGGAATATAAACGCTGCATCCATGAATCTTGACATAGGAACCAGTATTGCGCTGGTCGCGGCTTGCACGGAAGCGGGAGAATTGGAAAACTGTGCAAAAAAAAATCGCGTCACGGGATTTTATTTTCCTACAATCTCGTAAATCCTAAATGCTGCTGTGTGCTCATTTCATAACACGTTTCTAGAACGCGCGAGTTCTTGAAGCTTGCTTCCATCGGAATGAGAAAAGAAAAGGCTGTGGAGTTTGATAATAATGCATCCGGTTTCGTATAGGCACTTCGAAGCTAACATATTTGTGAGACAGCGAACTCTTCTATTTTAATATTTACCCCATTACGTCCTTCTGGCGTTGCGTTCGGTGAAGTGTTTTTCATATTCCGTATCTTGTTTAATGAAAACTTCTTTAAGGGTCTAATTTGAGTTACCGAAGGCTAGTTCACATAAAGAAAGCTGTATTTTCTCCCCACTGTTCCTTCAATTGCTTACACGCCGAGGTGGCGGGATAGTTAGCGAGTTTTACTTGTAAGTGGGTTTGTAAGGAGGTCGCGGATTTTACAGCAACTGCGTCGGACCCAATTAGATGAAGTCCGAATGCGTAAACGTCGGTGAGGTAACCTTTGAGTGCACATAAAGAAACCATTCCTGGTAGAAATCCCTCAGCCTTACACTACGATGTATCCCGTTTCGTATGTGCTGAATTCAGATGTTTTGATAATGTAGTGATTGCGCAGGCGAGCTGGTGGATGTTAACCATTTTGTTCTTAGCCCGAGACTGAGGCAGGAAAAGAGGAAAGTTTCGAAGTAGAAGAAAAATGAACAGTTGAAGACACGTCTCTAACACAGCTCTGTGTTAGAGACGTGTCTTCAACTGTTCATTTTTCTTCTACTTCGAAACTTTCCTCTTTTCCTGCCTCAGTCTCGGGCTAAGAACAAAATGGTTAATCAGATGTTTTATTTGTGATTTATTTTGGTGTTGCAATTTGTCATATATAATTTCCGAACCGGTTCGCGAACCGGTTCAGCGCCCCGAACCGGTTCGCGAACCGGTTCGCGGATCGAATTAATCGAACCGGAACTGAACCGGAACAAAATAAATTTACATGAACCTGAACCGTAACCGAACCCGTATTTTTTTCGGTTCGACACACTGATATATATATATATATATATATATATATATATATATATATATATATATATATATATATATATATATATATATATATATATATATTTATATATATATATATATATATATATAAAGCAAAAACAAACACCAAAAAACAACACAGCAATCTTTCGAAATTGCTTTCTTTTGAGTGCTTCAGTAAGCTTGCCATGATTGTTAGAGTATTTCTTCGCAGGCGCATTAGTGATATTACCAAACACACATTTCTACATTACGCTTTGTCGTAATATATATATACACTGTATATATGTTCAAGCTACCCTCCGTTGAATCGCAGATCTGATCTAAGAACAGTGTTGTACACGCTCCTCGAAAACAGGAACAAAAGCTCGTTCGTCGTTCCTTCTCAATCTTAAAACGCATTCCCGTTAAATTTCCAAGATTGGTACGTGTCTTTACAACAACGTGATGTTTGCTTCTAATGATGAAATATTGGGCTGGTTAATATGTCAATCAAATAAAGCAAACAAGTTAAAATATGCAAGCTCCGTTCACATAAGATCATGCAGGCGAGTTCGGGCGTATATTTTGTGTTTTTTTTTTATATGTGACTCCTCATCATGTTCAGGAAACGTAATCAGTAAATATTTTGTAAAAACATATTATTTGATGAGAAAATAACTTTTGAGAGCGCCAGGTGGCGGGATAGTTAGCGCCAGGTGGCGGGATAGTTAGGTTAGTTATTTGCTATATTTGGTTTTTTAAGTTTTTGTTTTTGTCATGTCAGGTGACGCCTACTGCGCAAAATACAAATATCAGAACCCTCAAATATTTTATATTTACGCTATATTGTGAGAAATATTGATCTGAATATTTACAGCATTGTGGAGGTTATGTATCTTGCGTCAAAAATGCGCCGACTTGGCTACTTTGATGTCTTGTCACTAGATGTTGAGCTGTTATCTAAAGAAATTGAATAGCTACAACGTTAAACTTTATTTCATATAACGTTATAAAACGTTCTTTTAAATGATACATCAAAAATTGCTTTATCTCTAAAATAAAAAATTTAATGCGTTCCAGACTTGCTCTGAAATGCAAAATTATAAAATTTTTGAAAAAATAAATCGGTTAAAAAATTTTAGTTTTTCATATTTTTAAAATTTATATTTTAAATTAACAGACGTCTTAGTGAAAGTCTGCCAGTGAAGTCACTGCGAGGTTTACTTTGGTGAGCCCTACCTACAACCGTCATACAAGCTTGGTGGTTCAAACATTCCTATTTCATCGCGAATACAGATATAAATATTTGCATATAATTTACATCACTTTTCTTACTTTTCTACTACTTTCTGTAAAATAAAAAAGTAGTAGTTGCGATTACAAGCAGAATATATTCAGCTAAAACACGCAGAACTCGTAATTTTAAAGTGCAACACTGGTTTCAGGGATGGGCAGTATTTCAAATACAAGTATTTGAAATACGTATTTCAAATACTTTGAGTATTTTGCATTTGTATTTAATTACAAATTTGAGAATGTATTTGACATGTGTATTTAAATACTAAAACATGGGTATTTTAAATACAATTGTAATTAAATACAATTTTGTGGGCGAAAATATATCTTGTTTTTATGGATGTGGTTGTAAGATATAGTCTCCATCCTTTATTCGGCCATGGGGCTTTTTTTTCTTTTCTCCTCCGGCTTTATTTTAAAAGCACTGTCCAGAGCATGAAGAACACTACGTTCTGCACCGAATGCAGTGTCTCTCAATCAAGCACAAGCGTTTAGTGACTTTGTGATTACGGTGCTAGTCCAGGGCAAGAATAGTGACGAAATCGACGTTCACAGGCAGACTGGCTAAATAAGTGCCTGTGACAACTTGTGATGCATTCTAGCCTGATTTCCACCTATAGTTTTGCCTGGAACATTCTAAATGCGCGAGTCGTCCAGATTTTTGTAACCGGTGCGAGTTGCAACAATAAAAAATTCTCTATCTAGTGCTGCGCGTCTTGGTCGTCTCAGCTCTTTGTTGGTCTATACCAAAATGTAATCGACAAAAAAAGCTGCTTGAAGCTCTGTACTTTTTTTACCTATTACATCCAAGCTGATTACATTTTTTGTAATTATATTTTTATTACGTTACTAGAGCCTCGCACACTAATTCCCGAGTGTGCAATGCCAAATTAAAATGAGATACACAGAAACCCGTTGCAGGTGCGCTGAACTCGCTACCGCAAATTTTGAGGAATGTATTTGGAAAAGTATTTGGAGGAGACCAAATACATTTGATTGTATTTGGATCTTGTACTTAAATGCTTTTGTGGAAATGTAATTAGATTTGTAATTAAATACATTTTAGAGCGCAGCTCTTAGGGGCCCGTTCCCGGCTTGAGCGGCGTCGGCGTCGCCGTCGCCGTCGGCGTCGGCGTAACCAAGGTCATCCCAAGGTCACGTGACCCCCGAGGTCACGTGACCTTGGGGACGGGACCACGTGACCTCGGGGGTCACCTGACCTCAGAGGGGTCACGTGACCTCAGAGGGGTCACGTGACCTCAGAGGGGTCACGTGACTTGGGGGTCACGTGACCTTCAAAGGGTCACGTGGGGTCATCTTGGGGTCACGTGACCTTGAGATGACCTTGGGAGGGGTCGGGGGTCACGTGATCTCAAGATGACCCCACGTGACCCCCAAGGTCGCGTGACCTTGGGGGTCACGTGACCTTGAGATGACCTTGGGAGGGGTCACGTGACCTGGAGGGGTCGTCCCCAAGGTCACGTGACCCCTCCCAAGGTCATCTCAAGGTCACGTGACCCCTTTGAGGTCACGCGACCCCCCGAGGTCACGTGACCCCCTGAGGTCACGTGGGGGTCACCTTGGGGGTCACGTGACCTTGAGGGGTCCCCCATGTGACACCCAAGGTCACGTGACCCCCAGGTCACGCTTCCCCGAGGTCACTTGACCCCCCTCCCCAAAGTCACGTGACACCCCCCGGAGCATATTAAAGAATGAGGGGAGGAGGAGGAGAAGGAGGAGGGGTCTACCCTCCCCTCAGTACCCTTCACTCCTCCTCCTCAAGGGCTGCGCTCCAATTCGGCGTTACAGGGATTTGTAAACGGCTTTCACTTTTTTGACGAAGTATTTTGTATTTGTATTTCGATACATATTTGCATGTATTCTGCCCATCCCTGACAGGTTTATTGGTTAGATAAATAAAATACTTGAACATGAGTCCAAAACATGAATACAGCACACAAATCTATCTACCGTAGTCATAAAATATACGAAATCAAAATATCATATCGTCGGTGGCCTTATGTTAACACGTCGGTGTGGTAGATACACTTGGCAGCGCTGTAACTTTGAAGAAAACAAAATGATGCAAAATGTTTTTTTTTTATAAATAAAAACAAGAGTATGCTTAAGAACTATAACTGTAAATTTAAAAAAAAAATTAAAAATGGCTTTTTTTTTTTAGTTGCCTCCTGAACTTTCTTAACTTTGTACTTTAGGGCAAGTTTAGAGCACCATAAAAATTAAAAAAAAATAGAGATAAAGCAATAATTTAAATAGCATTCTAAAGAACCTTTTAATACAAATATATGACATAAAGCTTAATGTTGTAGCTATTCAATTTCTTTAGATGATGGCACAAAATCTAGCGACAAAACGTCAAAGGAGCCAAGTTGGCGCATATTCGACAGAAGATACATTACCTCCACAATGCTGTAAACATTAACATTCATAGTCCTCATGACCTATAAAAATTAAAAAAAAAAATTAGAGTTCTGATGTTAGCGTTTTGCGCAGTAGGTGTCTTCAAACGTGACAAAAAAGAAAACTTTAAAAATCGAAGATGCCGTTCTGGCGCACTCAAAACTTTTTTCTCTTCGAATATTCCCCTTCTTTTTTACAATTTTATTTTATTACGTTTTTTACACATGTTGAGGAGCAACATATAAAACAATGATGAACAACAAAGGAATACATTCGAACTCGCGAGCATGATCTTTTCTGAACAGAGCGTACACATCAACTATCTCTCTCGGTCTATCTCTCGGACATTTGACTATCTCTCGGACTTTTCCCCATCCCTAGCTTGAAGTCGCAGGTTAAAATAGTCGATCATAAAAAGCCGAAATGCTTACTGAACTCGGGTGAAATTGTAAATATTAAACTCTGGCAAAGCTAAAAAAAAAAAAAGTTTTTTTTTTGTTTTTTTTTATTGAAATTGTAACGCGTTTTCGTTCCAGTACCGCCGTTGCGAGATGGAACGTCGGCGCTTCTCCGTTCCTCCTAAAAAAAAAAAAGACGCGTTCCAGGATCGTCGTTCTGTAAAACCGTGCCTGAGAACAAACCAAGCTGACCTTAACCTAATAGCCGACTGGTGTAAACAGTGGAAAATGACAATTAACTTTTCTAAAACAAATCTCGTTTCCTTCACGCGTGCTCATAGTCCTCTCTCTTTCACTTACACCATGTACAGCCAGGTAATTACCAAGTGTCCATCTTACAAATATCTGGGTGTTCACTTATCTGACGATCTCTCATGGAACACGCATATAACACACGTCCTGTCTAATGCTTACCACTATCTTGGGTATCTTCGACGGAATCTGAAACTAGCACCATCATCAGTTAAACAACTAGCCTACACTACACTCGTAAGATCGCAACTTGAATACGCGTCACCCATCTGGTCCCCTTGGCAACATTCATTGATAACAAAGATAGAGGCACTTCAAAATCGCGCAATCAGACACCAGCATCACTTCTTTACGAATGAAAGCTAACCTTGATCTCCTCTCAACCAGAAGGAAATTATCACGCCTTTCTTTTTTTCACAAGATTCACTATCATAACCATGACATCAGAACTTTACTATTATCCCCAGCCACTCGTATATTTCCTCGCATTGATAACGTCTGTAAAGTTCGTCCAATATTCGCATCGTCAGTTTCGTTTCTTTACTCCACCTTGCCATTCACAATAACGGACTGGAATAGCCTGCCTAACAGTATCGTGACTCAGACAGATTATAATACTTTCATATCCCAACTGACCATTTATCTGCATTTACACTAATAGCAAAGTCAACTCGTGTTTATAGAAATGTTTTATTTGGGTATTTTTCTGTTTCATCAGCTGTTTTTCCCTAAAAATGTTATAAGTGTTTTTTTTTCTTCTGTTTTTGCTGCTTTATATAACAATGTTTTCCAGCATGTAACCCACTTTTTTGTTTGTTCCTTTATATGTTTCTTTAGCAGTTACACCCACCTTGTGTAATGCCAGCAATGGCCTTCAAGGTTTTAATAAATGATGATGATGATGATACATAGAATGCAACCGCGTAATATTTGGGAATTGTCCATTATCTATACACACTGACCGCATAAGAAAAGCATAGCCTGGCTAGTACACAGCCTTTTGTTATTGCTCTGCTACCAATGAAATCGAGTGACTAGACGATAAAACGCTGAAGTACAAAATCACGAGGCAAGAGACGTGTTGATAATAAGACACGCCCTGCGTTTTTTTATGAATTGCCAGTGACTATTGAATGTTGCATTGTGGTAATCTTTACTATATATGAGCATCTTCCTTATACAGGTAAAAGAACAATGGGAAAAATATATGGATGATAATTGCCTGACGAAAACCGAACTCGTTAGCGAAATGTGCAACCTGGTAAGGAATCCTTTTTTTATATAAGTTCAAAAGAAAGTTATAACTGACTTTATGACAAGTTTGTCACAATCTCCTGCTTTCTCACTGAAGCGGTACGTCGAACCTTTTCTAAAACAGAAAAGTAATTGTTAAAAAAAAAAGAAGAAACACGTTATTTTTTATTTGGAGTTTTAAAAGCACAAGGATCCAGCTTGGTACTGTCGGCATATTAGCCGCGGGCAGGGCCGATTGGAGTGCTGGAGTGTTAGATAGTGATGTAGTTACCAGTATCACGTGATGGCGTCAGCTATTTTCTCCTCTCTGCCTTGCTTTGGTTGTGCGATTTAACAAGTAGCGGCAAAAACTGCTCGCTAACTATATTTCGTTTTTACTATGACGCAAAACCTACGTACGACGAAAACAAAACAATAAATCCGAATACGCCAAGCGAAACGATCGAAAGTTCTGTGTTGGTTAATTACGATAGAATTCTACGATAACTTCATGGCCACCAACACCGCTCGGATAGTACTTCGTCGTGGATACCAACGAGTATACTTCTACGTACTTTTCGCTTCCCAAATTCAAACAGCGGGGAAAAAATCGTATTCGAAATTACAATTTGTGGTGAAGGTTGTTTAATCCACGAGTTCCGGGAGCAAGGACAGCAATCCTATCGACTTCAGCGGCCGAAGCCGTAACAACAGTAAGGCCTAGCAACGCGCTCTTCACTCGCGGCCTACGACCACTTAGGTACCAAGTTGAATAAAAGATGTTTGTGATCAAAACATTTTTTTTTCGATATACATGTAGCACGCGCGGTGAATCCATGTGAAATGATAGGTCTAGCAAGACAGAACAAACGCTGAGGAATGGCCCAAAGTTTTGTGTGAGCGTAAAATCCTCCAGGATGGATGTGTTCTCAGCAATTTAAACTATACCTAAAATGACGAATCACGAAGAAAGAGCTGGGTTCGTGGATTTTGTTGTTGATAGAATGCACAAACTAGCGGATAACACTTTTCGAGATGAAAAGAGAGATTTTCGTTTCATAACCACTGCCGTGGGAGAACTAAAAAGGGGATCGATTCAGTTGTTTGTAAACTTTTAAACGTGGCATGTTTGGCATTCTTCGGATGCAGTGTTCCGGAAAAATTCAGAGGAGGCTCTCAACAAGCTGGCTGTTGAATGAAAACGGGATATTTAGAAACTTTGAAGAAACATAGTTAGAATCCTCAAAAACGATGAAATAGGATCTCTAGCAAAACAAGTAATGAACCAAACAAAGTCTTCGTTTAGTGTAAATTTTTTCTTGGAAGATCGTTAACCTGATATGCCCTTTGCACAGTGACCAGCGAACTTGGAACGTGGCAATGTAACATCTCAAAGTTTCCACTAAGAAGGTTGAATGTAGTTCAGTTAGAAAAGAGTGCTTAACTAAGGAATTCGGAAGCACTAATCATAGTTCTAGAAAGTTTCATGGAAAACAGTGTTCTCTATTGTCCACGGACATCAAGGATTTTTACTATTCACTAGAATAATCCGCTTGTTGCAAAGAGTTAGGTAAGTGCTAGAATTGAATTTGGTGAACTTACAATCTCGGATAGGTATTGCCGTCGACAGTTTCCTTTCTCTTCTTGAATTGTAGCTACAGGCTACAGTTGTTGAATATAATGGTCGGAAATATGTTCAGAGTGATGGCGTGTTCATCGGATCCTCCGCGGCTCCGATGTTAGTAGGGATATATCTAAACACCTTAAATTAAATAGTGCCATAACTGACCAGATAAATGAAAACAAACATAATAGTTCCTTCGAAGGGAGGTACTTTGATGACGTGTTTATTTGTGATTTTCAAGAGAATGATGCTCGGGGTTTGAGTCGATCAGAAGAACAACAACCCCAGAGCTTAAGTTTACATCCGAACAACCTGAAGATAGAATCCTGCAATTTCTGGATTTACGCATACATGTAGAACATGTCATTTGCTGGGAGTACTGAAAAAAAACAACGCAAAGCCGGTGTTAAGTTGAAATAGTTGTAACGCTAAATCGGTAAAAGCAGGGGTTGTGAAATCACTAATAACAAACGCGTTGCGCAAATCATGCATTCATTTTTTGGGCAAGCGGCGAAGGGTCAAAAGATGAAGCTAGAAGCTGCAGGAACTGAACAGGAATTTATAGAAAGGCAATTGGAATTGAAGTTCAAAAATGTCCATCAACAAAAAAAAAAAACAAAAAAACAAGGAAGAAGATGGCAGTGATCCGGTATTTCTACGGAATTTCCCATAACCTAAAGGCTCCCGCCAAATAGTTTGGAGTTGACGTCGTATTTTTTTCAGATTTCAAAACGAGCAGGTTGACGCCATTTCAGTCAAACCATAAAGGCTACCAGAAGGATCATCGGGAACCTTGAGTTCCTTGCGTAAAGAGTGTGATGTCTGAGAAACCTTTCGCAAGCGGGTTCAAGCACGTGGGACAAACCTCGAGATGCTTTAACGACAGGTTATTAGAACATAAGACAAATGTAAGCACAAATGCGTCCACTCAGAAATCGTGACGCACATTCAAAATTGCAACAGTCGTACTGCGTACTAGTCAGAAAGGGAAGTTCTACATAAAGAGCGGAATGGTATAACGAGAGTCATAAAAGAAAAAATAAGGATAATGTAAGCCTTATCTCTTCGTCGTCCCATTGTCATTTTCAAAATTTTTGGTGGTGGCGGACGCTCTCGTCGCAGTGACACACTCGTCGATTTTATTTTACGCTTTTGTTAACTACAGGTCAAATAAGCATGGGATGAATTACCCTCGCATTATGTTGTACTTACACTTTATTTTCTTGTTTGTCTCTAAGCCACGCGAGCAAACTGCTAAAAAAACCACAGCGATTGCAGTGCCAAGTTCGACGCATGCTCGGCCGTCCTCGTGATTGATTTATTTTTGCTCTGTTTGACTAAACAACAACAACAACAACAACGACAACGACAACAACAACAACAACAACAAGAAGAACAAGGACAAGAACGAGAACAAGAACAAGAAGAACAAGAACAACAACAACAACAACAACAACAAACAGATTGTTTTTGGGGGGGTTACTTGTATGGTCACTTGACAAGCCTCCCAAGCTACGATGGCGACCGAGTTGGTCGTTGTCAGTACGATAACACGAAGCTGGGTCAGCTGGATCCTCTTTTGTTTGCCGCGACGCCACCGTTGTCGCGCTGTTTGTGCTGACGGGATGTGCAACGAAAAACTTAGATCAAAAGAAGGCCTAATATCTCGTTCAAATTAGATAATTAAATGTGAATTGTGAATGATACACCTCAACCTATGTGCTATGAACGAAGCGCAGCAGCGGTGACGTGATTCTTTCCACTACGTCACGATGAGGAGCCGTCATGTGGCGCCACTTCATCTTCTAGGGCAGTGGCTCTGAAATGGGGGTCCGCAAAGGCATTCAGGGGACCGCGAAGCCCTGCCTTGTTAGTCAAGCCCGGCAAAAAAAGTTGTCTTTTTTTAGATTGAGAAGAAACGTTCCAATTTTCGGGTGAGTTTTCTCGTGTGTATGTCGACGAGAAAAGTCTACTTCACACAAGCCTTTAGTTATATTCATTTATTAAATAATTATCATAATTGACGTATTCATTTGCCTTCCCCTCATCAAGAATAGGATCCTCCATCGCCTCCGCCGATCCAGAAGGGGTCCACGAAACATCAGTGGTTGAGAACCACTGCTCTAGGGCTAATAGTGACCGTTTTGGAGACTGTTTTGGAAAGCGCGAAAACTGAAATGTTTTACGTTGAAACGGTTCTATTGAATATTTTAATGGACACGAGCACACTGGAATGATGAAAGGCTGAAGTACAATTATCAGGATGATTATTTTGGGGGGAACAGATTCTGCGTTGAATGATAATCCGATAAGCAAACCTTTCTAGTCTACGTTTATTTTTGTTGGCACTTCAAGTAGAACTTGACGTTCTATCCTGAAAAAATTGTAAGACGTTGTTTTATGCGTAGTATTCCTCTAACTTCCTGCTAATTAATATTTTTGCTTCACAGACGACAATAATGCCTGGTAGCTTCACTAACTATGAGGTAAGCTAACATTGCAACTCTCGCAGCATTGTAGATTTGTAAAAAACAAATTTATAACTCGTTTTGATAATCTAAACGCAAAATAAGAGCACCCAATGACACCATGCTGTCATAAAAACATGACTTTAAAAGGTTGCTGCTCGCATGTGAACGTCAGATAAGTCTCCAAGCGACGAATCATCGTTGACATAAAGACACTTTTTACGATCTCTAGGGATTATAAAATTACTGCGGAGGTTGTACTTTTGCAATTGATTACCATCTCTTTCAAACTCTCCCCCTCCCCCCTCAAGTTCTTGCTGCAACACGAAAGACTTTGTCCTCGTTTCCTCTCCTTATCACACGCATGCGTGGATCATAGGTCGCTCAGCGAGTCCGTCAACGAGCTACATGTAATATGTAGTTGTTCCAATGAATACGTGCGTGTCGCAGTTGACTGCGCTCTACGCTAGAAGTCCAGACCCCTACTGGAAGTACTCCAATATTCTTTGCACTGCCTCCTCGCAAAAAAAAAGAAAATGGCGCGGGAGGAAACGAATTGAACAGTGTAGAACTGCAAACAAATGTTTAATAGACAAACTTGTGACAGAAACAAGAAAGATTATGAGCTTCGAAAATCAGAAGCGAGCGTCGCGGCGTCGGTATGACTGTTGGTTAGAGCTAGATGGTTGTCGTCGGGAGATTGAGTCGGCAAGGCAGCGCTGGGCTCCTTATCTGTTACCCTCGATATCTTGAACACTCGGTCTAAAATGTTCGAGTGTAGAACCCCTCGGGGGACTGACTCGGGAAGGTCATGTTGGCCTCCTTACCTATTACACTTGGGGTAAGAGCAAACACGAATCTCCTAGAAGTAGGAAGAAGCGTTTCCTCTCGACCATGCACGCGGCTAGACGCCGGTGTCCCCGAGGATATGTGCGTGTCGCAGTTTCTGCGCTATACGATAGAAGTCAAACGATTGTTGAAGGGAGCCAATGTGAAAGCCTTCACATTGCCTCCCCGCTTTCAAAAAAAAAAAAAAAAAAAAGCAGGAGCGGATTGAAGAAGACATGGGTGAACAGAATCGGTGGCGCACTGGAGCTCAGCGTCTGTTGTGCCAAGGAGGAGCCACAAAAGAGAGAACATCGTTTGGCTAGGAATAGGGAAGCAAGCCTGCCTTGTTCTGCTACGATCGAGGGCCGTGTGGCGAACGAGATGCTTCAAAAACAGACTACTACAAAAATCAGGGCACAGATTTGTGGGGGATCACATTGTCCAAGTATACTTCAAAAATCAACTCGTCAAGAATTCGTTGGGTGTTGTCTGTGGAGTGTGTGATCGTTTCTGGTTGAAGAGAGGCTTTTATACAATATGTTTAAACTGCAGAGTATGTCAAAATGATATACTGCTGCGAAACAGCGCAGAAATGCAGCACAGTTATTTATTTATTTTTGTTTGTTTAGCGATTCTTTGAATGTGTTTGCCCCCTAGATATTATGACATAATTTGAGCTGGTCACCTGCTGGTGGCCAGCTCAAATGAAAAAAACAAAAAGTCGGTTCTGAAGGTTGAGTTTTTAAAAAGGTGCTTTGAAACAAACAACAAAAATAAAATACAATTAAATAGTAAGAACTTCTGCCTTTATTGCTACATTTATTTTAATGTAGTCGAATTTATAGATTATTCATTAATATAGAGATGTTGCGGTTACATTTTGTAGTTTGTCTAGTTCCAGGTTTTATTACCTTAAATTTTAGCCAGTTGGTCTGCCTAATTATCTTTTTTAAAGTTGTGGATCAAATTTGTGAGTCATAACAAGCTGTCTGAAATATGTACGGCTTATATATAAAAAAAGATGCTGATAAAAATGTATAAATTACTTGATAATTTTTTATTTTAATAAAGCAGTAGCAATGACCGGGTAATCATTTTTAACAGCTATCTGAGCGGGTCAATGTGTACAAATTGAGTGATTTTCGCTTAAACAAATTGGCAGGTCATTTAAGCAAGTGAAACAAGAAACCCGACTGTATGTATAAATATATACAATAATGCGTACCCGTAAAGTTACAATTCTACGGCAGTCCCACTAAAACAAATATTACTAATTTCCAGACACGAGAGTTGACGAAAGAATACAACGACCAAGCCCAACAAGCTGGTATAGAATGCACAGCAAGCATAACAGCCTGGACCACAGGACCCCCACGCATGACTGCACCTTCTCGGGGGTAAGGTCCATGCTATTCCTCGATCATATGAACAACGAACACGGCTCTGCGTGAAAACTGAGCATTCCGCTTGCATTGCTTTCTAAGCACGCAAAGGATATGAGTGTTATCAGCGCAATATCTATATACGAATAAAAAAACATATTACAAGAAACGCGTTTTGTTTTCGCTGCTCCGAATAACTGCTGAACAATGAGCGAACACGAGCGTCGTCTGCTCCTGGACCGGAGTCTGGTGTCCAAACGTCGGACGCCGACCTTCGATGTTCCGAACGCCAGCCGCGCAGAGTCTGGCGTTCGAACGCAATACCAAATACTGTTCAGACTAATAGAGAAAACCAAACAAAAAATACACGCGGTTGGCAGGAGACACAGAAGTGGGGCCATCTCTTGGCGAGGAGTGGTCAACCCGGTGCCGAAAATTAAATTGATATTGGTCATGTGCTCTACTGTTCCCCCCTTACACTATCGTTTAAAATACATAGTTACCAATTAAAATTTATAAACACCTAGTTATGGCTCTTTTGTATTAAGTGATATGTTCCAGAAAGTTTGTACGCGTCAGTAAACTTGTTTGAATATTAACCTGTGTAGTTAAATGCCTATTTCAGGCTATTCATAATAATTTCTAGTTATTTGACTATTTATCTGTTAGGAAACCTTTAAGTTGTTATTATTATCTAAACATTAACTATATTGTGCTATTCGCGTTCTTATGGGTGAGATTGGCTTCAAGTGGCTTATATTGGTGTTAATAAATCTTCAACTTAGAAACTCTAACCAAGCTTTATTAAAAAGCAAAAATCCCGACGTTTCGGAACCAACTCGGTCCCTTGATCACGGGTGACTGTTTTTGTCCCGCGGAACGGCCTGCCCACGAACCCGAACACCCCCGGGTGTTTTCCGGATTATCCCTCTTAACCCCGAAACGTAGCTGCTGGGAAGGGTCCCCGTCGACCGGTTTATGTTGCCACGTGTGCATTGAATGTGCCACGACTCCAACAGGAGGCGCCTCCGCCAGTTTTTCTCCGTTCCGAGGATGGAGCTGTTGTCAAGGTCGATGGAGTGGTTCGTCTTCTCGACGTGTTCGGCCAGCGCGCTTCCCTCCACATTTTTCTTCGCGATGTCGTAGCGGTGGCGCCGCAGGCGCTCTGGATAGTTTTTCGTTTCCCCAACGTACGACGCGGGGCAGTCACCGCAGGGAATTTTATAAACCAGTCCCTGTGCCCTCTCCCTCGGGGGGCGATCCTTTGGCAGGGGGAGAAGGCCGCCGATGGTCGAGACTGGCTTGTGTGATACCGCTATGCCGTACTGTCGCAGTACTCGGGCGAGAACCTCGCTTGTGCCCTTGATGTAGGGTACACACACGCGGGTGGAGGGAGGGGGGGCGTCTTGGGTTGAAGGGGTGCGTCGAATTTTTTTGATCGTGCTTTTTACAAATCCAGCTGGGTAGCCATTCTTCCGCAGGTCTTGTTTTATCGTTTCGATCTCTTTTCGAAGGGTCTCCTCTGATGTGCAGACCGTGATCGCCCGTCTGACGAGTGCCGAAGCCACGGAAGACTTATGTGTCCTAGGGTGGCTTGAGGAAAAGTCCAGGTATCGGCCTGTGTGTGTCGGCTTCCTATACACACGGAAGTCCAGGTGGCCGGACTTTCTCACTGCACAGACGTCTAGGAAAGGGAGACAGCCATCTGATTCGTGCTCAATCGTGAATTGAATCGCTGGCTCGATGGAGTTGAGATGTGTGTGGAGACGGTCGATCTCACTGGTCTTTACAACACAAAAGCAGTCATCTACATACCGCAGGAAACACACGGGTGCTGGGGAGAAAGTGTCCAGGGCTTTTCTCTCGATCGCCTCCATTACAAGGTTTGCCACAGTTACGGAGACCGCAGCACCCATAGCCGTACCACTGGTTTGTCTGTAGAAGCGGCCAGCAAAAGAAAAATAAGTGCTGGATAGGCAGAATTCCAGTAGACGGCAAATCTCGTCCACCTCAAGGCACGTTCTTTCGGAGAGTTTCGTGTCAGACGAGAGGGCCTCCCGCGTCACAGACACTGCGAGAGGCACAGGCACACTTGTGAAAAGCGACACGACGTCAAAGGAGACAAGGCTCTCGTCGTCCCGCAGTTCGAGGCCCGATGTGAGCTCGATGAAGTGTCCAGAATTTTGGACGTACGTGTCGGTCTTCCCGGTTAAAGGCGACAGCAGTCGGTGCAGATGGTTGGACAACGCACGTAACGGAGACGTGGTGAAATCCACTATGGGTCGGAGGGGGACATCTGGCTTGTGCACCTTCGGCAGGCCATAAAAGGCCGGCGCTGAACCGTTCCGGCAAATGAGACCCAAGTAAAGGCCTCGGGACTCGGGATACCCATCAAAAATCGTAGAGAGCATTTTGTTTAGACTTGCCTGAATCTTGGCAGTCGGGTCCTTTGGCAGAATCATGTATGCGTCGGTGTTGAGAAGCTGAAGCGCCTTCTCATCGTAGTCCGCGCGGTCGAGTAGCACGGTTGCGTTCCCCTTGTCGGCAGGGAGGACGACGATGCTCTTGTCTGCTCTCAAGTTCTGAATGGGTGCTTTCTCTTCCGGCGTGTAATTTAACTGCTCCCGTTGGTGCGCCTTGGACAGCACGCCGATGGCCTTGAGGCGAGCTTCTTCACGGATGCAGGGGTCTAACTCACGCAGGCCATATTCGACAGCAGCTGCCATCGAAGCAATAGGCGGCGTTGTTGTGGTTAGGTTGAACTTCTTTCCCTTTGCCAGAACACGCGTCTCGGTCTCAGAGAGCACTCTCGAAGACAGATTCTTCACGAACCTCTTGTTGGTCTCTTGGGAGACGGCGGGACGCAATTGGAGAGATACGAGCTTCTTCTGGTGGTCCGAACTCCTTCTCTCAGCGGCCGACGTGGCAGCAGATCTGGCAAAGTCGTCGATGGCAGGAAAATGCTCCGGAGCACGGTATTCCAGTTGTCTCCGCAAAAAGAAGAGATCCAAGTCCCTTTTCCTGAGAGTTTCCCGGCATTCTTGAATCCTGGAGTCGAGCAGACGACGTTCGGCCTGTTCGACGATCCTGTGACCCTCGGCGCTTTTCACAAGTGTGCCTGTGCCTCTCGCAGTGTCTGTGACGCGGGAGGCCCTCTCGTCTGACACGAAACTCTCCGAAAGAACGTGCCTTGAGGTGGACGAGATTTGCCGTCTACTGGAATTCTGCCTATCCAGCACTTATTTTTCTTTTGCTGGCCGCTTCTACAGACAAACCAGTGGTACGGCTATGGGTGCTGCGGTCTCCGTAACTGTGGCAAACCTTGTAATGGAGGCGATCGAGAGAAAAGCCCTGGACACTTTCTCCCCAGCACCCGTGTGTTTCCTGCGGTATGTAGATGACTGCTTTTGTGTTGTAAAGACCAGTGAGATCGACCGTCTCCACACACATCTCAACTCCATCGAGCCAGCGATTCAATTCACGATTGAGCACGAATCAGATGGCTGTCTCCCTTTCCTAGACGTCTGTGCAGTGAGAAAGTCCGGCCACCTGGACTTCCGTGTGTATAGGAAGCCGACACACACAGGCCGATACCTGGACTTTTCCTCAAGCCACCCTAGGACACATAAGTCTTCCGTGGCTTCGGCACTCGTCAGACGGGCGATCACGGTCTGCACATCAGAGGAGACCCTTCGAAAAGAGATCGAAACGATAAAACAAGACCTGCGGAAGAATGGCTACCCAGCTGGATTTGTAAAAAGCACGATCAAAAAAATTCGACGCACCCTTTCAACCCAAGACGCCCCCCCTCCCTCCACCCGCGTGTGTGTACCCTACATCAAGGGCACAAGCGAGGTTCTCGCCCGAGTACTGCGACAGTACGGCATAGCGGTATCACACAAGCCAGTCTCGACCATCGGCGGCCTTCTCCCCCTGCCAAAGGATCGCCCCCCGAGGGAGAGGGCACAGGGACTGGTTTATAAAATTCCCTGCGGTGACTGCCCCGCGTCGTACGTTGGGGAAACGAAAAACTATCCAGAGCGCCTGCGGCGCCACCGCTACGACATCGCGAAGAAAAATGTGGAGGGAAGCGCGCTGGCCGAACACGTCGAGAAGACGAACCACTCCATCGACCTTGACAACAGCTCCATCCTCGGAACGGAGAAAACCTGGCGGAGGCGCCTCCTGTTGGAGTCGTGGCACATTCAATGCACACGTGGCAACATAAACCGGTCGACGGGGACCCTTCCCAGCAGCTACGTTTCGGGGTTAAGAGGGATAATCCGGAAAACACCCGGGGGTGTTCGGGTTCGTGGGCAGGCCGTTCCGCGGGACAAAAACAGTCACCCGTGATCAAGGGACCGAGTTGGTTCCGAAACGTCGGGATTTTTGCTTTTTAATAAAGCTTGGTTAGAGTTTCTAAGTTGAAGATTTATTAATCATTCCTAACCAGACGGATGTCCGTCGAAAATGTTTACATTTAAGTCTCTTTGCAATGACTACGGTCCTGTGGTGGTGCGGCTTGCCAAGCGATATGTTCACCTCTACAACTCCATCTCTACCGTCAAAACCCACCTCACATTCAACAAGACTTGCAAGGAACTGCGGCTAATCCCGAAGAGTCTCCGCCTGAAGCGCCTGGTCCACAGCACCGAGGGTCACAGGATCGTCGAACAGGCCGAACGTCGTCTGCTCGACTCCAGGATTCAAGAATGCCGGGAAACTCTCAGGAAAAGGGACTTGGATCTCTTCTTTTTGCGGAGACAACTGGAATACCGTGCTCCGGAGCATTTTCCTGCCATCGACGACTTTGCCAGATCTGCTGCCACGTCGGCCGCTGAGAGAAGGAGTTCGGACCACCAGAAGAAGCTCGTATCTCTCCAATTGCGTCCCGCCGTCTCCCAAGAGACCAACAAGAGGTTCGTGAAGAATCTGTCTTCGAGAGTGCTCTCTGAGACCGAGACGCGTGTTCTGGCAAAGGGAAAGAAGTTCAACCTAACCACAACAACGCCGCCTATTGCTTCGATGGCAGCTGCTGTCGAATATGGCCTGCG